AAGTTTGAGTACATTCTAAAAGCACTATACTTTTACTTCTCTCTTCCACATTTTGTTTTTAATGTCATATTTTACATCTTTTTATTTTGTGTATCCCTTAACTACTTATTGTAGTTATAGTTGATTTTACTACTTTTGTCTTTTAACCTTTCTACCAACTTTATAGTTGACCCACTGCCCTTACTATATATTTGCCTTTACCAGTAAGATTGTTTTCTTTCATACATTTTCCTATTTCTAGGTATGGCCTTTTCTTTTCTACTTAAAGAAGTCCCTTTAACATTTCTTTTAAGGTTGGTTTAGTAGTGATGAACTCTTAGTTTTGCTTGTCTTGGAAACTTTATCTCTCCTTCGATTCTGAATGATAAGCTTGCCAGACAGAGGATTGTTGGTTGTAAGGTATTTTTCCTTTCAGTATCTTAAATATATCCTGCCACTCCCTTCTGACCTAGAAAGTTTCTGCTGCAAAATCCACTGATAGTCTTATGAGGGTTCCCTTATACTTAACTAGTTTTTCCTCTTGCTTTTTAAATTCTCTCTTTATCTTTAACCTTTGACATTTTAATTATATGTGTTTCAGTATGGATCTCTTTGAGTTCACTTTGTTTGGGATTCTCTGTACTTCCTGGACCTGGATGTCTTCTTCCTTCCCCACATTAGGGAATTTTTCAGCCATTATTTCTTCAAATACGTTTTCTACCCCTTTCTTTCTTCTCCTTCTGGGACCCCTATAATATAAATGTTAGTATGTTTGATGTTATACCAGAAATCCCTTAAATTATCCCCATTTTTTTCAATTATTTTTTCTTTTGGCTATTCTGGTTGGGTGATTTCCATTACCCTGTCTTCTAGATCACTGATCCATTCTTCTCTATTATCTAATCTGCTTTTGATTCCCTCTAGTGTATTTTGTTTATTTCTGTTGTATTCTTTAGCTCTGATTGGTTCTTTCTTATATTTTCTAACTCTTTGTTGAAGTTCTTCTCCTGGATTTAGTGAGCATCTTTATGACAATTACTTTGAATTATTCATCTGGTAGATTACTTATTTCCATAACAATGAAGCGTTTTTCTGAGGTTATGTCTTGCTCTTCTGTTTGGCACATGTTTGTTTTCTTATTTTGCTTGGCTCTCTGTGTTTTTTTCTAAGTATTAGGCAGTCTTGAAGGAGTGGCCTTGTGTAGGTGATGATACTTCTCATTCAAGCCTGCCCTAGCTCTTGATTGTCTCTCAAATCTTTGTGGCTCTCTATACAACCTGATTTTTTTTTTTGGCCATATCCCACAGCATGCAGAATCTCCCTGACCCAGGATGGAATTTGCGCCCCCTGCAGTGGAAGCACAGAGTCTTAACCACTGGACCACTAGGGAAGTCCCCAACCTGATTTATTCTTGATATGCCCCTGTTAAGGGTGTGCCGAGACCTGCCAGTGTTCCAAGGCAAAGGCTCTCATTTAGCACCCAGTTTCAAGCTGACTGGACGCCAGACCCTCAGGTAGCAGCTGTTAAAGTACACAGATATATACAGTCCTGTGGGGTCACAATTGTAATCTCTGCTGGCCTCTGGACCAGGAGATCTGGAGGTGTCCCCTGGATGACAGTTGCAAAAATCAAAGCTCCTGATGAGGGTATAAGCTCCTTTCTGGGGACTCTCACTGAGTTGTAGCAAGGCTGAGGGGGTACATAATGATGGTGTTTCCCTGCTTACATTCCCTGGGAGTGCCTCCTTAGCCTCTAGGTGTGCGGAAAACATGAAGCCTGTCCCTCAGGGTGATGCTCCAGGCTAAGTAAACAGGCCTTTTTCATAAAAAGACTGGGATGTGTTCCAGTCTGCTGTCAGTGTGGTGCCCTGGGGGTGGTGACCTGCCAAGAACTGTATTCCTGATTATTACAGTCCTATGGAGCTCAGGAACATCAGCCTCCTTGACCACCAAGTGCAGACAATCAAGGCGTGTCCCCTGTGTGGACTGCATGTAACTCAGCAGCTGAAGAGTGTAGAGGTTAGGACTTGCTGTCTTGCTTCAGAAAGGCATCAGGAAATGACTTGACTGCATGCACCCACAGGTTTCAGCAATGCAGCAGGAGAGAGCCTTGTATGTACAGGTATCAGTTTTAACTCCAGCCCCAGCCAGGGAGTGGGGAAGTGCTACAAGCAACAGGGCTTTTGGTTTTAGCAAGGCTGTGGGAAAAATGCTGTGACTGCTCACCCATATCAGAGCTCTCCCACCTGTGCTAGCAATGTTAGGTGGGAAGCACAACAATGGTGTCCACCAGTGCCTACATCTCCAGGGACAATTTCTACCATCCCCTGCCCATCCAGCCAATGCTTTTAGCTTCGTAAATGACTCTCCTTCACATAGAGTCGCTGCACTTTTCAAACTGCTGTTTTACTGGGTCTCAGGGTGAATGAGACCACAGGCAAGCCTTTTAAGAGGGCACTTCAGGATCTTTGGTTATCAGCTCCATTGGTTTTCTAAGCCAGACAGTTTGCAGGCTCATCTCTCTGGTGTATATTCCAGGGGACAGGGTGCCTGATGTGGGATGTCAGCCCCTCAGTCATCCAGGAGAAGCAGCCATCTGGTGAGATCCCTCCCTATGTGTGCCATCACACCAAGGTGAGGTTTTGGCAAGAGTGTTTCTCTGCCTCTCCTACCCCTCTCAATGTGGTCCTTTTCATCCACTGTTGTGGAGCAGGTGTTCAGCCAGTTCTCAGGTTCTTTTCAGAGGGAACTGATCCACATGTAGCTGTATATTTGTTGTGTCTGTCAGAGGAGGTAAGTTCAGACTCTTCCTAGGCCACCATCTTGATTCAACTGCCCTCCCTCTAAGTTTTAGTCTCTATCTGCAAGTGGGGATATTTAAACTTTCCTTGATTGCTTATTGTCATGAACATTATAAGCAGTCAAAAATAATACCTATTATTACCGTTTGGGTATTTCTGCCAAGCTATGAACACTTCAACACTGAAATCACTCAGTATCACTCAACACTGAAATCACATGGACTAAATAAAAATCAGGGCTTAGTCATAATGAATATCAGGGTAAGAACTCAGAAAACCATGTGCACTAGTCAGGGATCTCCAGAGAAACAGAACTAATTAGATAATAGAGAGATATACAGAAAGGGATTTATAGTGAGGTATTGGTTCATATGATTATGAAGGCTAAGAAGTCCCACAGTCTGTAAGTTGGAGTCCCAAGAAAGCCAGTGGTATAGTTCTAGCTCAAACCTGAAGGCCTAAGAACCAGGACAGCTGACAGTGTGAGTCCCAGCCAGAGTTCAAAGGGCCCAAGAACAAGCACCACTGATGTCCAAGGGCAGGAGATGGATGTCCCAGCTCAAACAGAAAGCAAATTTGCCCTTCCCCCACCTTTTTGTTCTATTCAGGCCCTTAACACATTGGATGACGCCCAGCCACATTGGTGAGGGTGGTCTTTACTCAGCCTATCAATTCAAATGCTAGTATCTTCCAGAAACATCCTCACATAGATACCCAGAACTAATGTTTCATCAGCTATCTGGACATCCCTTAGCCCAGTCAAGTTGACACATAAAATTACCCATCACACCATCCTCCAAGAGGTTAGTGTTGAGTGTTACTTTATCAGAAGCTTCTCCTGTTTGGAAAGCACCCACCTATATTTTAGAACAAGAGTTCTGAAGAAGAGCAAAGTAGCAGCAGCCTACTGGAACTCACCTGGTTATGGAGAGGTCACATGAACAAATCTTCAAAAACATACATTACCTACTTTTAGATGAGAACTTTTGGCCCACGTGAACATCAGAGCGTTTAAACTAACAAACCTCATAGGGTCTATAGTAGGTTATACGGCAAAAAGAAGCATCCATGTCTTAACCCCCAGAACCTGTGAATGTGACCTCGTTTGGACAAAGAGTCTTGGCAGATATTAAAGGTCTCAAGATGAAATTATCCTTGATTATACAACAGATGGCCCCTCAATCCAATGACAAGTGTTGTTTCTAAGAGGCACACAGAGGGGAGACAGAGGGGTAAGAGGAGACAACCAGGTGAAGATGGGGCAGAGATTGGAGTTATGCAGCCACAAGCAGGGGAATACCTGGAGGAAATAAGGCAGGACTCTCCCCTACAGCCTTCTTAGGGAATGTGGCCTCCAGAACCACAACATGATAAATTTGTTGGTTTTACGTCACTCGGTGGTAATCTGTTATGACAGTCCTAGGAAACTAATATAGTATCTAAGAGCAAAAGAAACCACATTCAATTCCAAGAAACGATTTGAGTTCATCCAGAGCCATGTAAGGAAAACTATAAAATGACAGGAAGAAAGGTTGAGCACAGTAAAGAATACAAAGTTTTGAAATCACAAAAAGTATGTCAAAAAATTTTAAACTCAAAAAAATTAAGTTTTTTTAACTCAAAACAAAAATGAAGTGCCTGTGCTTGTACATGCAATTATCCAGTCCTTTGAAAGAAAGTCATGGTACATCCTGTTTATAGAGCATTTCAGTAACTGCTGATGCTGTTTTCACCGTGTGGTAAAAGCTGTCCAGCCCTCACCATAAAGGCCTTATCATTACAGGGCAATTTGGCCCAACTGCCAACATCTGCGCCTCTTTACCTGGGGTTTCCTCTGGCCGCCAGAGCCTGCTCTGCCTGGGACACATGGCAAGGTGGAGCGCTGGGAAATATAAGGCCCCAGGAGTATCCGTCACGCAGGGTTTAACTGGAGTTGAGGTATACACGCCCCCATGCCCCAAATCTTGGCTGGGATTCTCTGACCACTGAGTCACCAGCAGGACTAAGCCCCAAATGCCTAGAGCACTGACCTGCTCCATGATGGTTGCTTCCCTTCCCATCTCCTCTCCCTACTCCCCTACCAATGTCTCCTGGGATCACCTCCCAAATAAACCACTTCCCCTTAAATCCTTGTCTGCGGGTCTGCTTCTTGAAGAGCCCAAACTAAGACAGATTGCAAAAGCACTGAGCTGGAAGCAGTTCAGAACCAAAAAGCATAACATGAAGCCTTTGTCTTCTTTAAGAATTCATCTTGAACCACCGGCCGATTTCATGTTAACATTAGAAAAGGATCTAAATGTTAAACTGGCCTTGCTTGACATCAACGTCTGCCACATTTATTCCAAGGAGATACACGCTGGGCTGCAGAACTCCTCTCTTTTTCTCAGCCTCAAACCCACCTTCCATCAAGAGGTGAGTTCTAAACCCAAAATATACCTCACATCAGTCTGCTATTCTCCTTTGCCACTGCCACTTCTCTGCCCTGATTCATCCCATCGCCACCTCCTGACAGACTGGCCATCACCTGCCAGGCTGTCCCAACAGCCTCCTGACTGGACCGACCCCTCTTCCACTCTGGACTCTCGCAATCTACTCTCTGCAGAGCAGCTAAAGAAACCACCTAAAAACAGAAATCAGTTAGTGTCACTCCCTTCAGAAAAGTCCTCAGCAGCTTCCCACTGCACATAGAATAAAATCCCAACTCCTCCTCTTGGCCTCCAGGATTTCCCCAGCTTCCATCTTAAGCCACTGTCCTCTCACAATGCTCCAGGAGCCTCAATTTCCTCGCAGTTCCTAGAATGGACCCAGCCTCTCCCAGCCTCCAGAACTCTGTGCTTGTCCTTCCCTCTTCCTCAGATACTCTGCCCAGACTCCGTATATAGGACTCCTCCATATCTTTCAGCTCTCCTTCTCTGAAGGTCTTCTCCAATGACCTTCTCTAAAATCATCCATCCATGTACCCCACTGTATCATCCTCTAGCATTTTACCTTGTTTACTTCCTTCACAGAACCAATAACAAGTGCTTTTTGTTTCATTTCTTTGTTATTCATTCATTCAAAGAAATATACACTCAGCCCTTATTATGTGGCAGATCCGGTCCCCCTGCCAGGTGTGGGAGGTTTACAGCGATAAAAAAACAGCCACAGCCCCACCATCACTGGGAAAGAGTCTACTGAGAGAGATAGTTTTAAAAAAAATAATAACACATGCAATTTAAAAACTGGCAAAGTGAGAAGTGTTATGTACAGGGTACCATGAGACCTCAAACTAGAAAAATCTGGCCTAGTTAGGGAAAGCATCCCCAAGAAAATAAAAACTGATCTGAGGGTCTCTGCAGGAAAGGGTTAACTCAGCAGACCTGGGTTGTTCAAACCCTGCACATTCCCAAGAAAGGTTAGGATGGGCCCTGGAAGATGAGCTCCGAGCCCTTTGGAATGTTCTGCCTGTCAAGAGTGTTTCTGTATGCCTGAGGCCCTGGGCCACGTGGTACCAGTGTGATCAGCTAGTTTATGTTAACAGTATGATTGTGGAGAATGCCAAGTTTTTCTTCTGGGAGGTTGGAGTCTGAGTAGCTGAGGTCGGTCACAAGGTACTGCCGGCTTACGTACAATCTTCAGTGAAAAACCCTGAACACCCACTTGGGCGAACTTCCCTGGCTGCCACCACTTTACTCGTGTTGTCATCATTGGTGGGAGGATGAAGGGGGTCTGTGCGACTCCACTGGGAGAGGACACCTGGAACCTTGCACCCGGTTTCTCCTGGACTCTGTCCCATGAGCCTTTTCCATTTTCTGATTTTAATCTGTTTCTTTTCACTGTAATAAGCCGTAACCATGAATACAATAGCTTTTCTGAGTCCTGTGAATTCTTCTAGCAAATCATCCAGCCTAAGGTTGGTCTTGAGGCCCGCAGACACAGGGCTAAAGAGAGCATTCAAGACAGAGGGGACAGCAGGCCCCAAAGCCCTGTGATAGCCCTGAGCACAACAATGTAAGAAGCCTGACCAGTGCTAGTTAGGTGGGAGTGGAAAGGCAAGTAGGAATGTGATACAAGATCCCTGCATTCTCTCTTCACCACGAATGGCAGCCCCATAACGGTGGACACGGACCACGCTTTTTTACCAAGGCATCCCTAGCACCTACCATGATGCTTGACACATCGTAGATGCTCAAAAAATATTTGTTAAATAAATGGATAACAAAGGAACAAATAAATAAATGAGTGAGTGAATGAATGAATGAATCTGGGCTTTATGTTACATCCTATAGCAAAGGCAATTATTTTTTTTAATTGAAATACAGCTGACTTACAATGTTGCATTAGTTTCTCGTGTGCAAAGGTAATAATCATTGATCATTGTTACCCATAATCATTTCTCAATAACTCAAGCTTGCTCAGTCAGATGTAATTACTTGGATAATACAATTGCAGCAAGACAGTCAAAACACTAGAAACAAAAACTTATCCTGAAATATTTCAAACTTCATGTGAAGTTTGTGGATGATTTCCTGAATGTGCTGCAGTAACACACGGAAAATGTAGGATTTACCTGCAGGACAGACTTTGAACTTGCACAGTAATAAAAGTTCCTTATAACTTCCCAACTTTTATAACTTTCCCCTGAGCTAAGTAGGGGAAAGTTAAATGGGGTCATTATTGTCCTCATTTTATAGACAAGAAACTACGAAATTACTGCTTTGTCCAAAGTCGCAAGCATATTAGCGGCAGAGCAAAGGTTATACTTCTGGACTTCCAAATGTTCCTGGAACGGAGCTCATTACCTTCAGGGAAAAGCAGATTGGAAGAGAGGAAGGGAGATGCGGCCTTGGGTAAGGTTAGGCTCTGACGCTCACTAGCTGAGTGACATGGACACATCCAAAGAAAATTCCTGTTGAAGCCTGTGCATATAATTACTGGTGCAAGGATGCATACTTAGCTTTCATTAGATTCTCAGAGCGGTCAGGGACCCCAAAATGGTGAAGAACAGCCAGTATCTATTTGCGTGGTCAGTTACCAACAGGACAAGAAATGGTTGTGTTCAGGTTCTGGAGTGTGACTGGTTTGGAATCCAGTTCAGCTATTCCTAGTTCTTTCCTGAAGTCGGTGGCTCAGTTTTCTCATATTTAAAATGGGGGTGAAAGAATACAGACCTCATGGAGTCACTGTGAGGACTAAACAAGGTAATGCCTGTAAAGTGGACAATATAAGGCGCATCTCAATAAATGTCAGCCACTGCCACTACTGCCCCAAGTCAACCAACATGGAAATCTGTGGGGTCACTGTGGGTCATCCTCTCCCTCACCCACAGCATTCAATCAACAACAACTATGACTGATTTTCAACCTGAAACTCCTCAATTCATTCACCTCGTTTTCACCCAAATTTCATTTCTCTAATCAAGGTCCTAGCCTGTCTTCCAGAAGACCTCCATGCTTTGCCACCCTTGAATCCTCCCTCCACTGGGGTGACCAGTAGGCACTAAAATCCTAACATGACTTAAGACTCTAAGACCTTGGCCTAAACAGGGCTCTTCACACCACGCTCCAAGGGGCCTCTTGAGTGGCTGTGGGGAGGTGAAGCCCCTGCCATTCTTACTTGAACCAAAGCAAGGCAGGCGTGTGGATTCTGTACACTGGGCTTCCTCCCAGTGTGAAGACAGGGCTGCACTGCTTCAAACAAACAATCAGACCAAAAAAAAAAAAAAAACAGACAAGGAATCACACCCATCACTCTCTTTTGAAAAATGGCGTAAAAGGTCCTAAACACCATTGCAACATGGTCCCCGGCTGCATCTTTGCCTTCTTCTCTATTTCCACATCACTCCCCTCTGCCTATATCACTGATCTAGACGATCCAGGACAGTGCTTTTCAACTTTTCTGGTCTCAGGACCCCTTTACAGTTTTTTAAAGTATTGAGCCTCAGTATTGCTTTTTCTATTACTACTGAAACAAATTACCACAAACTCAGTGCCTTAAAAACAAATGTATTATGGTACAGTTCTGGCAGTCAGAAGTCCATAATGGGCCAGCCGGGCTGCATTCCTTCCAGAGGCTCTAAGGCAAGTAATTATGATCCGTTCTGATGCAGGACATCCCTGAGTCAGGCTTTGCAAAAACAATTTCTTATACTAAAAACCCCATTCCCTGGAGCTAGAAGTACTTAATTTCAGTTTTCACCTTTGCCATTAATACCCAACTGCTGATGCCAGAGTACCCGTTCCAAGTAGGGCCGCTGTCTTTTCTCCCCTTTCTCCCTCTTACTGTCGGAGTCACCAAAACCGTACATCTCAGAACTGCCGCTAACGTCATTTGGAATCTGGAAATGGCCCCCATTTGTCAAGCACTTCCTGTGTACCTGGCATTTGTTACCTCATCCGGTGCTTTCTCCCCTTCAGTCTTCTCCACAACGCCTTGCCAGAGGAATGGTCATTATCCTCATCGGACCCGTGAAAGGGGACATTCAGAGAAGCCACGTGACTTCTCAGCTCACGCGACGAGAACACAGCGTTCACTGATCTAGAGAACAGACACCATCCCCCACCACACAGCTGACGGTCTCCGCCAGGGTGACAACCCCTCCACACGGGGCTCCAACACAACTGTGCTGTTTCAGACAGTTCTTGTCCAGGAAGATGAAGCTCCAAATAACTCTGTTCCGGGAACTTTCTGAAAATCCACGCATCCAAACTACAGACTATTCAGCTAGCCCACATCGGGGTGAATGGGCCCTTTCTCAGAACTCTCAGCTGAGGTCATCAAACCGCTGCTTACCCTGCAAGGCTCACTTCCAAACCACACCTCACCACGCACAGCAGTCCCCCACCACCGTACCTCAAAGTGTGTCCCCTCACTGTCAGGCCCCTGCTTTGAAAGACCCACATTAACCAGACCCCTAAAACACTATCAATTTCCTGCCTTTGAAACATCACTTCCCCTTCTGTGATGTTCCTAAGACTGGCAATGTAGTGGTCCCCCTACTGCAATAAGCAATGTGTTTGGACTTGCTTGATCAACAGGTTATTTTGACTGACAGTCAGAATGAGAGCCGACAGTCAGTCACTGGTTTCTCAAGTAGCTTGTGTGCATTCCCAATGTGTATCTACATTCTCTTCAGGTCCCTTGAGCAAGTAAACCTTCACAGGTACCTTGTCCAACAAAGCAGTGAATCACCGACGGTACATCTATGGGAACCCAGCCTCATAGTCAATCTGGTTCTGCTCCAGCCTCCAGAGTATATATCCTAGACTTATCCCAGATATTCTCTGGTCCCCTTGTCAGTTTCCATTGTATGCTACAGCCAGTTAGAGTCTATCCAAGAAAAGATCTAGAATTGCCTTGAAGATCCCAGTTGCACTAAAAATACACCTGGCATTTAAGGGCTGGGACAGAAATGAAATTCCCCGGGGCCATAT